TGGCATCCCATTAATGGTTTGAGTTCCAGTTCCCTGCTTGTGTGCCTGGCAGAGCAATGGAAGACGACCCAAGTGCTTGGGTCCCTGCATCCCAGTGGGAGACCCAGCTGGAGTGCCTGGCTCCATCCTGGCCCAGCCCTGGCCACTGCAGCCATTTGGAGGGCAAACTGGTAGATGGAAGATCTCTCTCTCCTTCCCTGTGTGTGTAAATTAAAAAAAAGAAAAAAGTGGAGGGAGGGGTTTTGAAATAATTCAAGACTTCTGCCTAGCCTTCACCCAAATTCTCCAATTTTACCATATCTGCTTTATCTTTTTCTTCCACACACTCTGAATAGCATACAGTTATTTCACCTGAGTTACAGAGTGAAAGGCAGGCAAAGATGTTTCATCCCCTGGTTCATTTTGCAAATAGGAACGAAGACCGGGGCCAGGCTGCTTGTCAGCCAGGAGCCGCGAGCCTCTTCTGGGTCTCCCATGCGAGTACGCAGGCCCACGCACTTGGGGCACCCTCTGCTGCTTTCCCAGGCATGTAAGCAGAGAGCTGGATTGGAAGTGGAGCGGTTGGGACGCCAAGCAGTGCTGCTGTCCCAGATCTGTTCTGCAGTTTCCACAGGAATCCTGCTGAAGGAATGTCATGTCCCCAGTGCGGCCTCCTTAGGGATATTCAGCTAGCCTGTTGCTGGGGTGGCTACCTTAACTACTTGGTTAAGAGGGTGCCTTTCTGCTTTCCCCACTATGGCTCAGTGATGATATTTCTATTCATGGGAGGGACTTAGAATGGAAATACCCAGTACTTCATCCCACCGTTCTCCACTGGTGTGTCTGTATGATTCTTGCTGGAATGATTGTCGCTAGAACGTTTGCCAAGTGGGCAGCTCAGGCACTCCTCCCTGCACAGCACACATCGCCACAATCAGGCAGATTCTGAATATCAGCTGTCCATTTGGAGCTCGCTTCCGGCCCCTTTTGCCGCAGCGCTTAGTCTAACCTCTGCACTTGCAAGGTCTGGCAGAAGCGTGGAGTGTGCTACTCCCTGTCCTTGCCCTGAGAGCTGAGTGCACCTCCACTAGGGTGGTTCTCAGCTGACCATCCTGGGCCCTGGCAGCTCCTCTGGCTTAAGCTGTCACACATACCGGAGCCCCAGTCCTCGCTGGCTTCCCGTAAGCTCTCACGTTAGTGGACATGACGGCCCTGGGGAGGCACCCAGAGATGGGCGTGGGCACAGCGACCGTGCGTGACACCCCTTGGTGGCTGTATGTGCCTCCTGTTGGCCGTGCGGAGCCCTCCTGGTTTGGGGGGAAGATGACCGTGTGTGTACATGGTGGCCACCTTGCAGGGCCCTTCCTTACAGTTTAAGAGTCTGGGGGAGAGGCTTGATGCTCCAGCATGGTCATTGCAGCCTGCTGCTAACCTGTCCGCGTCAGCACACTGCCCTCCACTCCACCCCCAGGAGCCAGGCTTTGCCCCTGCCGCCTCCGCATTGGCATCGTGTGCCCACTGAGATGCAGGACTCCATTCCCAGTCCTGACCTCCAGAGAACAGCCGCTGGCCTTCTTGCCCAAGATCCAGGGCTCCTTACTAGTGCTGGTTGTAGCACTCCAGCGGAGAGGCGGACCCCTGGGACCAACTGAGAATGTAGTGGGGCTGGTTTGGGGGATGAGGGAGTCGTCTGAGGGAATCTACCCAGACCTCCACCCGCTCTCCCCTCAGGCCTGCAGCACCTGGATATTAGCTAACAGGACGGTTACCCTCAGCCTCATGAGCTAAACCCTTGGACTCAGATGTCCACTAAGAACACCCCGATCTTATGTCATGGCCATATTCCTGCCCGTTTAATCTAACACCTTTGAGTTCATCTCCATGCATGTTCTCCAGGTTTCCCATAATATAAATTAGCTTTTTTATTTCAAAAAATGACTTATTTTTATTTGAAAGGCAGGGCTAAAGAGGGAAGGAGAAGGCGCGGCAGGGTAACCTAGTGGCTGATGTCCTCAACCTTCCACACGCCGGGATCCCATATGGGCGCTGCCTCCCATCCAGCTCCCCACTTGTGGCCTGAGAAAGCAGTCAAGGATGGCTCAAAACCTGGGGACCCTGCACCCGCGTGGGAGACCCAGAAGAAGCTCCAGGTTCCTGGCTTTGGATCGACTCAGCTCCGACCGTTGCTGCCACTTGGGGAATGAATCATCGGACAGAAGATCTTCCTCTCTGCCTCTCCTCCTCTATATATATCTAACTTTCCAATAAAAATAAAATAAATATTTTTTTTAAAAGGAGACACAGAGAGAAAGATCTTGCATCTGCTGGTTAACGTCTCCAAGTTGCCACAACTGCTGGAGCTAAGCCGATCTGAAGCCAGGAGCCAGGAGCCTCTTCTGGATCACCCACGTGGGTACACGGTCTCAAAGCTTTGGGCCGTCCTCTATTGCTTTCCCAGGCCATAAGCAGGAAACTGAAAGGGAAGTGGAGCAGCTGGGACATGAACTGGCACCTATATGGGATGCTTGAAGTTGGAGGATTAGCCAATTGAGGCATTGTGCCAGCCCCTAGCCTTTTTTTTTAAATAAAGATTTATTTTTAGTTGAAAGGATTAGAGAGAGAGATCTCTTTCGTTTGCTAGCTTACTCTCAAATAGCCTCAGTAGCCATAGCGGAACCAATCAGGAGCCAGGAGCTTCTTCTGGTCTCCCACGTGGATACAGGGGCTCGAGGACTTGGGCCGTCCTCCACTGCCTTCACACACGCATTAGCAGGAAGCGGAATGGGAAGTGAAGCAGCTGGGACTCGAAGTGGTGCCTGTGTGGGATGCCAACTTCACAGATAAAAGCTTAGCCTACTGTGGCATGATGTGGGTCCCAAATGAGCAGAGTCGTAAGTCAGCAGCACAGCAGCACGGTCAGTGTATGCTGACTCTCCCTGGCCGTGTTGCTCACAGACTCAAGGTATAGATCAGGGGACAGTGTCCCCACAGGGGCGCCTCCCACCGGAGGAGGGGGTTCAGACGAGAAGGAGCGGAGGCATGCCTGTGGCTGCCACCACTGCCAGGGTGGGTTTGCCCTCCCAGTTAGTGGTTGAAGGTTCTCCTAGGAGAAATAGCAAGCCATGAGGGCATGAGTGCTCAGCCGCAACAGCCGCGGTCACCCCTGGGACAGGAGTTGGGCTCTGGGTCCTGCTTGCCATTCCAGGCCCTAACGACTGGGATGTATTTAACACAGGAATCCCTTCCCATGCTTAAAGGCCTGATAGGCCGCAAGAGGAGAGACAAGGGTCCTGAGAATCTAGCACCTATAACTAGAAAGCTGCCACCGCCCCGGGGTGAGCCCGACTTTCTGTGCAGACAATTCCACCTGACCCTGTGTCACACGCGCCGGGGCTGCTGCTGCGGGTGCGGTGTCAGCCTCGCCCCTCCCACCTCCTGGCTGCCCGCCCCAGGGGTCTGCCCGCACTGTGTGGGTTTACCTGCTTATGTCGCAAGGTGCAGGAGGGTGAGGGCTGGGAGGACACAAGCTGATAGAAGGACATAAGGGACTGCTCAAGGCCACGCCTGTCCCACCAATCCCTATGATTCACATGCTTGAGGCAGTGCTGCGCCCCGCAACAGGTGCCAGGTTCTGGGCTGTCGGGGGAACAGCACTGCCTCTGGCCATCCTGGGCGCCCAGTCACAGGGGGTGGCCACAGCACCAGCTCCTTCCTCCAGCAATGCACTTGCATCTGGGTGACGCAAAAAAACGAAACCCCAATCTAGCAAGATATTGAAAAGGAAACACCCTAAGAAACTCAGGGCCAGCAGAGCCCAACCTTGCCATGGAGTGACTCACAGTTACTGAAGGGTGTCTGGCTTTGTAGTCACACGAAGGTCAAGGAGAGTGGGCAGAACAACCATGTGCCTCACCGGAGTGACTGGACACGAGGAGGCCGACCTCGAGCCTGCGACAGCCGCTCTGCCCTCGAGAACGAGGGGCCTGCCTGGAAGACTCAGGTGAGAATTCCCACAGCCTCAAAGGCACACACCAACCAGTAAGGGGGCAAAGCGATTGCAGGATGGAGAAGCAGCAGAGGGGCACAGCTGAGTACTAGCCCCCTGTGGGCATGCATGGTGCCCCCTCCGGGCATGCATGGTGCCTCCAGGCAGTGATGCGAGTGAGCAGCGTGGATGAGTGGAACCAAGGTGTCATCAGAAATGAGTGTGCGTGTGTGAGACAGAGCAGCTGCCGCAGGCACGCCAACTGGGCTGGGGGCCCATCGGGAGCATGCTCTGTTGACTTTGCCCTACGCATGTGATCTTTCAATTACAAGCAAAAACCAACCTCTGTGTCCAAGAAGGAATGAGAAGTTGGGGCATGATGGGGACAGGGGTTGGCTGAGGCCGAGCTCAGGCCTGCACAGCCCCCAAGAACAGCTCCCTTCCCACATACCATGGGGCTGTCGGGGAAGAGAGACTGGTAGGGGCTGGGGTTCTGGGGTGTGAGGGTGCGGGTGGGTCAGAGTGGGGTGCCTGACATCAAATGACGTGGCCTGCTGGAGGACTTGGGTGGGAGGTGCTGCAGCTGGCACAGCTGGGTGCCTACACCTGGCCAGGAGTTCAGGCCCTGGTTCCCAGAGGCCCCAAAATGCCGCTTCCCAGCCACAGAAACTGGGATGCATCTGCATTTGTTTCCAAGCACCCTGGGTGATTCAAAAACTCACTCCAGTGACCAGGGAGTATGTGTGAGAGAGGGAAGGCAATTTTCTCCTTCCTTCTCTGTGGGTGGGGCTACCTTTGAGGTCAGGCAAGGAGGTCGTTGGCTGAGCGTGTACATGTGTGTGTGTGTGTGTGTGTGCACGCGCACAGGGGGCGGGCACGGTGTCCCACAGGAGGACAGAGTTTGCATTGATGGAAAAAAAAAAACAACCAAACTTTTCCCAGACCTTTGATGCCTCTCGCCCGCCACCCCAGAGCACAGCAGCGCAGCCCTCTGCAGCCCGCCTGCCCGCTCGCCCGCCTGCCTGCCTCACTCACTCCCGGCCAGGATGGCATCCTGTCTGGTCCTGCGCATGACACTGCTGCTGGTCGCTGGGGTCCTAGCCCCTGCTGTGCGCACAGGTAAGGGTGTAGGCCCTGGCTCCCCTACCACTGGAGACAGGTCGGCTGTCGGGGACGTTCTACCTGGAGCTGCCCTGGGGGACTGGCTAGGAGGGTCGCCTGGAAGAGCTAGGGGAACAACAGAACACAGGGCCCCCGAGCTCCCTCTCTATGATAGTAAGGCTGTAATGGCTGGGTCTGGGGTTCCCAGCAGGCTCCCAGGGACCCTGGGCTAGGATGGGCTGGCCTGGGTAGGAGAGGAGGCCTAGAACGGGTGTGGGCACATCTTAGTGGCGGTCGCCTTGGCCAGCTGAGAGCCGCCTGTGCCTTGGGGGCTGTTGGCTGGCCTGATGAGAACGGAGGGGACTTGGGTCATAACAGCGAGGCCCCGGAAGGACATTGAGTGGTGCAGGCTGAGTGGAACCCCATCTGAAAGAGATGACCCCAGCGGCTTGGCCTCCTGTGTCGGAGTCTGTGAGGCTCAGGGGTGCCTACAGGGTGGGCTGGGTACCCCACGAATGTCAGGGAGCAAGCAAATTCCCAGCCCAGGGTGGCCTGGGGGCAGACCCACCTGCTGGAGGTGAGGAAGTGGCCTATGTGTCTGGTCACACCTTCTAGCCCAGGTCTTAGATTTGAGGTCCCTGCCCATCCCTCTTCCTACTCCAGCTCCTGCCCAGAGATGAGGCAGGTGACCCAGGCTGTCCCTGCCCCAGGCCCCGGGACCAGGCTGTGCATGCCTCATGAGGGCGGTGGGGTGGGCTGAGCCGACCACCCTAAGATGCTTTGGTCACAGCTAGGCCATTGCCTGGCCTCCCAGTCTACTCTCCTTCCTCAGCTCCTGCCAAAATCAGGGCCCAGGTGTGTTAAAGCCCACCCAGTTCCTTTGGGGTCCTGGCTTCTGTACCGGAAAGCTAGCGCACCCAGACCACCTCGAGCAGGTGTATGCCAGCCCTGCCTTCTGCTCATGGGCCAGGGGCCTGCAGCAGACAGGCTGGGAAGGAGTGGGCTGTGGGCCACAGCCTGGGCCCAGGCCCACCAGTTCCCCTCCCTGACTGTCGGTCAGGGCCGGTGGCTGCAGTCCTCAGAGGAGGGAGCAGGCCAGGTTGGGTGGGCATGAGGCCAGGGCACTCATGAAAAGGCCCTTCATGGCCACACAAAGGCTGTCTGTGAGCTGGGCGCCTGGCCCCAGGGCCTGTGGTCATCCCGGGAATTAAACAAACTTATTTACCGAAAGGCAAGGGTGGCCGGGGCGAGCCCACGGTGCCTGGGCTGGTGGCAATGTCTCCAGGTCCCCACGTCCCAGGGTAGCCCTGGCTGGAGCTCGGAGTGGATTCCCAGGATGCTCTGAGGCCTCTCCTGGTCCCTGTCCTCACCCTAACCTGTTGGCCGCTCCCCTGAGCTGGTTACAGACACCCCCACCCCAACCTGCCACGTCTTCACTCCTGTACCTCCACTGTCTGCCCATCCTTGCTCCTCCTCCTTGGACCAGCCAGCCAGTCACTTGTATTCATGGCTTGCCAGGAGAGACTTGGGGGCATGGCCCCGGAGCTCTGTGCCCCTTCTTACCACAGCTAGTTTAGAAAACACAAGAGAACAGCTGCGAGATTATGGCTTTTACCTGGGGCTGGTGTCTGAGGTGTCTGCTGCTGAGAGCTGCCTGGTTCTGGGGCCCTGGCTCTAGGGGTGCCTGGGGCACTGGACTAGCCTTTGGGGACTCCTGAAATGGCCAGCAGAGTACTTGGCTTGTGTCCACACATGCCCTGCAGCCACAGAGGCCCTAAAGGTGGACAGTGCTCAGGACGATGTCCAGAGAACAGTCCCAGGCCCCACCAGTCCACAGGCCAGGATGGGGCAGCTGTGGCGAGAGGGGTGGGGCTCAGGTCTCAGGTAGAACCCAGGGACTAGGTGTCTGGCATGGGTGAAGCAGGCCATCCTTGGTGGGATGGCAGAGGAGCTGGGGCATCAGGGCAGATGGGGACAGGGCTGCCCGGGGGTCCCTACTCTCTCAGAGGTCTGGGGTCTGCTACTGTTGCCCTTGCACTCAGGCCTGATCCTGGCAGACACCTTCCAGCTGCCCAGAGCCCTCCCTGGAAGCCTGGGGTGGCATCCCTGGCCTGGGGCCCAGCCTCAGAGTTGCATTCTGACCACCGGCAGTGGTGGGGACAGGGTGGTGCCTGCTGGCCGGCTGACCTCCAGCATGTGGGGAGCCAGCAGGAGGGTAGGGGATACCAGGAGCCTGTGAGGTTGGGGGCCTGCCAAATGTGGGGCATGCTTGTCTCATCTCTGTCACCCCTCTCTCCGGGAGCCTGGGGCTAGCACACCTGGAGCATCCCTCGGAAACTTCCACGCACAGACCCCTGGCTGGGTCCCTTCTGCCTCTCACAGGGTGGTCTTCCCAGCTACTATCAGGCTGGAGTGGCAGCCAGCCTTGGCCTTGTGGGAGAAAGACCCTCCAGCCCCCGCCAGTGGGCACCAGGAAGCCTTCTGGAAGGGAATGTGGCTGGGGCAGGCCTGGGGGGGGGTGGGCAGTACAAGCTGAGCACCACAACCCATCCAGCCTAGGCTCGGGCGGGGCCAAGTTCACAGTGAAAAGATCTGGCTTGGCTGGTGACTGAGGCCGCCACACGGCTTTTCTCCTATCGTGTGTCACTGCATCACTTCTGCTTTCCATCTCAATGTCGCCCCCTGAGAGTAAGTGTGGGCATTGTGCTCCTTTGCCTGCAAATCCTGCTCTCACACAGGCAGGGCCCACTGTCACGGCCAGGGGGCACACGCTGGCGCAGCACTCAGCCAAGGCCTCACCTTGCCTTCCCCAGGGGTGCCCAAGTGCCTTACAGAGGGCCCTGCCCACCACCTGCACTGGCTCCATCCTCAGCCCCACACCGTTCTTTTCTGTTTTTTAAAGTGTCCTTTATGATTGTCACTTTTATCTACCACAAAGGTTGCAATGGCCAGAGTTGAGCTGATCCAAAGTCATGAGCTCCCTCCAGGTCTCCCACGCGGGTGCAGGGTCCCAAGGCTTTGGGCTGTCCTCCACTGCTTTCCCAGGCCACCAGCAGGGAGCTGAATGGGAAGTGAAGCAGCCGGGACTTGAGCTGGCGACGATATGGTAGCAACCACCACGGAAGGCAGCTTAGCCTCCCCATCTTTCTGATTTCAATGTATTTAATTTTTAGGGATTTATTTATTTTTATTGGAAAAGCAGATTTTACAGAAGAGAGGCAAATAGAAAAATCTTTACTCCTTAATTGCCACAACAGCTGGAGTTGAGCTGATCTGAAGCCAGGAGCCAGGAGCTTCCTCTGCCTCTCCCATCCGAGTGCAGGGTCCCAGGGCTTGGTCCATCCTCTGTTACTTTCCCAGGCCGTCAGCAGGGAGCTGGATCAGAGGTGGAGCAGCCAGGACACTGACCAGTGCCCCCATGGGATCCAGGCACTTGCAGGAGATGAGCCTTTTGAGTCACTATACTGGCCCTGTCCTTGCCGTTTTTTTTAAGTTGTTCTGAGAGAGAGAAGTTCACTCCACAAAGGCTGGAGTGAAGGCCGGGCCAGCCCAAAGCTGGGAGCCAGGACTCAACACAGGTCTTCCATGTGGGGTGACGGGGATCCGTTACTTGAGCTATCCTCTGCTGCCTCGCTGGGGACAGGAAGCTGGGACTTCAGCCCAGTTACTGCACATGGAAGACAGGAGTCCACACATCGGAATGGTCCAGTTACTGAAGGCCGACCGTGGGTCTGTGTTAGGCTGATGTTTGACAGTCTGCCTGACACGGATCCCCATGGGCAGGAGAACCCAGCAGCACCTGTGTCTTCTCCGAGCATCTTCTCTGGGAGCAGGTGCAGTTGGGACCAGCTTGTCTGCCTGCTCCAGCATGTAATGGGTTCATGGAAACCACCCCAGAAGTTTCTGGGGAAAGTACAACCTATTCCAGTGTTGTTCAAGGCCTTAGGCACACTCCAGCCCTCCCCAGCGTGGTTGAAGGTTGCACAGTTCCCATGCTATGGAGCTCCTGGGGTCCATGAGATGGTGTTGTGATGGCCACCAAGCCCATTCTGGGGACCTGCTTGGGGTGGGGGCTGGCACCCCTGGTCCTTTTGCAAAAGTCGTCGTGTTGGAAGGTGGAGCTTGCATGAAGCAGGCTGCCTATTGTCTCCAGCTGCCACCATCTGGGGTTTCCTTTTGTGTGGACCCAGGGTGGGGCCGTGTTGGGGGTCTCCTTAGAGGTGGACAGTGCACCTGCTTGGGCTAGCTGGGGCCCAGGCCAGGGGATGTGGGGCTGTGGGATGACTGAGCACACCATTCAAGCTGTGCTTCTGGAGGGTCCTGAGTTGGCCTTCTGCCTGCAACCCGTCTCCCGCAAACCCTGCTGACTCCTAACCTCATGAGCAGGTCCTGCTGTGAGGACCTCCCTCTCTTCTGCCCTGGTGGCCCGGCAGGGTCTGTCCCCTGCCCTCCCTGCAGTTGTGGGACCCTCCTCAGGACCCGTCGACCCCGTACCTGTGCCCACAGTTCAGATGGAGGCGGCCAGGCCCAGATCCAAGGTCCTGGGGCTCCGTTCCCCGGCCTCACTTCTCCATCAGCCAGTCCTAGCCTGGTCCAGGAGTGTGTGCACGTGTGTGCGTGTGGGGAGGTGCGCCGTGCCGGGGACAGCACCGAGCCCGCCAAGCCGGTCCATCGGGTTAACCGCGGGCCGCGCCCTTCTCTGTGTCCCCCTCGGCCTTGCAGCTGAGGGTCCCCAGGAGCCCGAACCCACGCTGTGGAACGAGCCCGTCGAGCTGCCGTCGGGAGAAGGCCCCGCCGAGAGCACCATACCCGGCCAGGAGCCCGCGGCCACGGAGCCCCCGGCGCCCTCCGCAGCGCCGGGCCCCGAGGACAGCACCTCGGGGGAGCAGCTGGACCAGGGCAGCGGTAGGGACGGGGGGCTGGGGCCGGGACGGGGGCGCGCGGCTGGGCCCGCGGAGGGGCTCACGGGGTCCCCCGTTCCTTCCCTTGCCCCCCACCCGCAGGCTCGCTGGGGCCCGGCGCCATCGCGGCCATCGTGATCGCCGCCCTGCTGGCCACCTGCGTGGTGCTGGCGCTCGTGGTCGTGGCGCTGAGGAAGTTCTCCGCCTCCTGAAGCAAATAAATGAGCCGCGCCGGCGCGGCGCGATTCTGGCACTCCACCTGCGCCCGTGTGTCTGCGCATGCGTCCGCCAGGCCCCGCCCCCAGCGCCCTGTCCCCGCCCCCAGCGCCCAGGCCCCGCCCCCAGGGCACTGTCCTGCTGTCCCCGCAGTTGTACCACCCTGCTTGCACTCATCCCCCACTCCCCTGTGAGTGAGGCTTGGGGACCCTGGGGGCGGCCCTCCCTGTGTTCAACCTTGGTGGCCCCTGTGGCTTCTCCGAGCTCCTTAAGGGTTGGGGGGGGGGCTCCTCGTACACCCATCGATGAATTAACGCCCTTCTCCAGGTGTCCCCAAAGCACGACTGAGGGACCCCAGGCCGAGCTTTAGGGAGGGTGACTTCAGTCCATGGCACGTCGAAAGCCTCTGTGCAGCTGACCCCATTTCTAGCCTCAAGCCTTCTCCCCCTGGTTCAGAAAAGGTCTCCTCGTCCTCCCCTGCTCCCAGAGCCCCTCACTGATGTCCCACCCATGGAGGCAGATGCGCTTCAGGCCCATGAACCCCTTTAATGCAGGAGCCCCCTCTGGGGTCCCATCCCAGGCATGCGGTTCGCCCTCTGGGACGAGGCCAGGGGTAGAGCTGCAACTCCACTGCCCCAGGCTGGCATCTGGGCCAGAGGAGGTCACTGCCTGTGGGAACACCATCCATGAGACCTTGGTGCCTCTGACACAGGGTGCCCCCACTCCCTCCCCATCTGAGCCTGGGGTCCTGCAGATGGAGCCCCCTGCCAGGGTGTGCAAGGGGGTGCTGTGCTGGCTAGCTCTCTCTGCTCTGAACCGAAGCAGCTCTGTTTTATATGTGAGGATGCTTTTAATGCAGCCAAAAAAATGGTGTTTGCGTTTTCTCAGAACCATAACCAATACAAGATGCAGTGACCAAGTCATTCCCATAAAACGCCTAGGCTCCCTAAGGGACCAGCACCTGGAGGAGCCCGGGCGGGGCAGCGGGAGGAGCGCGGACAGGGGTGGGAGGAGGCATGGCTGGTCCCAGTTCTGCCAGGAGGAGGAGGAGGAGCAGCGAGCGGGAGAACAGAGGCAGCTGGCCGAGCTCTGGCAGGCAGGTGCCGCTGTGGTGGATAGGAAACGTGCAGGGGCCCGTGGCCAGCCTCCCTTCCCACCTGCCCGTCTCCCTCCTACAGAGGTGGTGAGACACTGCTGACACCATGCCCCCAGTCTGAGGGTCTCATCCCAAGCTGCCCTCTGCTGCCTGGGGCCAGGTGCGGGTAGAGCGTGGCCCATGCGTCCCCAGGGCCCTCTCTCCTTCGTCCATTAGCGTCAGGGTCAGCCCCTGCCCCCGCCTGCCCACCTCCCACTGCTGTGCTGGTGACCGGGGCCCCGCCTGTGGTCATTGCCGGTTCCGGCTGCCCAGCTTCCTGCGGTCCTTATTCTGGCTGCGCTGGGGGTCGTCCATCTTGTGAACCCGGAAGCACTCCTTGAGGTTCTGGGAGCGGATCTTGGGGTTCAGAATCTCCTCAGTCATGGAGCTGGGGAACCAGCCTCTCTCCTGGTCATGCAGGCGCTCACCAAAGATCCACCCTGCACAGGGATGGGAAGAGGAGGGGGCGGGGAGGAAGGTCAGGGGCTCCTCCCAGCCCTGCCCCTCTCCTGGTGTGCCGGCTGCCCTGCTGGAGATCCTGAGGGGGTTGCCCCCCAAGATCGGCAGGCACGTGATGGGGCGGGGGGGGGGGTGGCGGGTTGCCGACCTGGGGCTTCCAGCCGTGCCCTGGCAGGAGTGGAGGGGGTGTGGTGGAGGAGGACGGCAGAGATCTCGCAGACTTGGGGTGTTCTGAGCAGGAGCAGCCAGCACAGGACCAGGGAAGGACTTTTAAAAGGACAGGAACTCACTGGTTGATTCTGCAGGGATGTTTTCCCTCTCAGTGCCTCTCAAGGAAAAAAAGCCTTTTTTCCTTTAAAGGAAGTAGGTGGGACTGGCATGGTGGTATAGTAGGCACTAATGTTGCCTGAGTGCTGGTTCGTGTCCTGGCTGCTCCACTTCCCATCCGGCTCCCTAGTAATAACATAGGAAAGCAGTGGAGGATGGCTCAGGTCTCTGCACCCATGTGGGAGACCTGGAGGAAGCTCCTGGCTCCTGGCTTCAGACCAGCCCAGCTGGAGCTGCTGTGGCCATTTGGGGAATGAACCAGTGGATGGAAGATGTCCCTCCTTCTTTCTCTAGAATTCTGCCCTTCAAATAAATATGTATTTTTTTTTAAAAGAGGGTATTTGGCATAGTGGCTTAGGCTCAGCTTCAGACGCCATGACCCATGCTGGAGTGCCTGGTCCAAGTCCCAGCTCTCTCCCTGACTCCAGTGTCCCGCTAATGTACCCCTTGGGAGCAACAGGCGATGAGTTCAGTGACTGGCCCCTGCTGCCCACGTGGGAGACCAGGTTGAGTTCCAGCTCCAGCTTCAGCCTGGCCTGTTGCTGGTGTTTGGGGCAGTCGGTGGTGAGTGGCCCAGCTGACCTGTGCCTCTCTCTTGCTGCCTCTCACTCGAACTAAACATTTATAAACAGTTCCACAGGGGCTGATGCCAGGGCAGGGCAGATGGGAACGGGGGCTGGGCAGGCTTCCTGGGAGCTTGTTGCAAATAAGGGCCTGGGGTCATGTAGACCTTCGAAAAGGAAGGGGACACGGAGCGGCCAGCTGGGCTGGGTCCCCTGCCAGGGCCAAAGGACAGAGTCTCGCAGCTCCGGGGAGGGGAAGAGGTGGCTGATAGGCCTTTCTTCGGGCCCGAGGGAACCCTGGTGGCAGCCAGGCCGAAGGGTGCTGGCATTGAGAGGCTGCAGGGCGACAGGACCCCTGCGGGGTGATGTCCGGGCCTCACCGTCTTCCGTCTTATCCAGGACGTTTAGGATGTCTGCCAGATCCAGTGTCAGCTCGTCCGGCTGCTGGGCCACGTACGGGTGCACGCACTGGACCTGCGGGCAGTCTGCAGGAGAGAGGGTCATGGCAGTCCTGGTCACTGTGTCTCACACATGCACACAGTACATGCACACACGCACATGCACACACACACATACACAGGCCTTGGTGGGGCCAGGAGTCACACGGACAGATGTGCCCAGCAGTGGCCATGGGGTCGTCTGAGGGAGAGGAGCGAATGGCTCCAAAGCAAACCTCAGCTGCCTGGCCAGGGAGCTGGGCAAACAGCAGGGCGTGGCACTGGCCAAGGCTTGCAAGGAACGCGGTGTGCCGGGCCTGGTGGTGTCCATGCAGGCTACACCCCTTCAGATCTCACAAACTTCCCAGGGTGGGGGAACATGGACATTAGGGGCCCCGTTCCTCCTGCCCTCCCCGCCCAGGCTGGTGACTTACCCAGCAACCGTGATGTGAAGGAGACAAATTTGGTCCTCCTGTTGGGGGCCAGGGATGTCATCCAGCGCCTCATCTCGCTCCTGTGTGGGGACAGCACAGTGCCCCAGCCGCCAGCGCCAGCACACGGGGCCCACGGGGGGCAGCGGCATGGGGGGGAGGGAACTTGGAAAAGTTCATGGAAAAATGGAATTAAAAGAAAACACTCTGAAATTTATGCCTGGCTCTGATCACCTGCATTTCCATGAACCCCCAGAAGATCCTCATACCCCCACACTTTGGGTATGTGTGGCACCCCAGTAAGTTTCTCTCTGGATTCCATTTCCCATATAGTTAAAGTTCCCCCTGGGATCTTTTAGGGGGCCACTGAGAACAGAGAGGAGCGCCCTCCCCAGGTCCCCATCAGGTAACCTGAGCAAATGCATTGTGGGGCCAGCACAGCTGGGCAAGCCTGAGCTCCCTGTTGGACCCCCCGGTGGGCTGGAGCCTGAGTGAGCCATGTGGGCAGGCGTGCCCAGCACTGCAGCTCTCTCCCAGGCCCCTTTGCCCTGGAGTTTCAGGGTGGGGTCCCTGCTAGCTCAGAGAGGGAGACAGATGAGTCCAGTGCTACACAGCAAGTACACAGGAGGCAGGGAAGGAGGGTGGTCCCAGGTCAGCCTGGCTCAGGGCTCTAAACTGCCCAGGCTAACAAGAGGGCAGCCAGAGTCTGCAGTTCTAGTGGGACTCACCAGGCATAAGCATGTGTGTGTGTGCGCACACACACACACACACACACACGCATGTGGGCCTGTGACCCCCAAGGATACAAGTTCTCTGGGCAAGTCTGCGGTGGGAAGGGTTCTTTCTGGTGAGGAGAGTGGACGTGGGACTGTGCAGACAGGTGACTGGCGGGTAGGCAGCCTGGGTCGGCCAGCCAGGACAGGGCACTCACTGGGAAGATGCCTTCAGCATGTAGGTGGCCTCACGATCGTCAGCGTTCTCCAGCAGCCGCAGGATGAACACGTTGGCTAGTGTCTGGCCCTGGTCCTCCAGCTCCTCCACCCGCAGCAGGCCTCGCGGGGCCGAATCAAATACCTGGTACTTGTCTCTGGGAGCCAAGGAGGCCGGGGCGCGTGGGTCCCCAGCTCTCCACCTGCACCGGACCCCTACTCCCACCCCCTCTGCAGGGTGTCCCCTGGGATTGGCCACAGTCAGAAGCTGAGCAGGGCTGTTCCCACCCATAGAACAGCCCCACATGACAGGAGGGGAAACTGAGGCTCCAGGAGCTTATGCCAGTTTTCTGGGAGACCCAACGCTGAACAGAAGTGTGTCTGCCCTCCCTTGCCAAGCTGGGGCCATGGTCAAGCCCAAAGCTGGTGCTGCCTGCAGCCCACCTGCCCGCCGCCCGCTGTGGGCTCACCCTGGGATCTGTCGGCAGATGACCAGCAGGTCGTTGAAGAGAAAGAGGTATATTTCTTGGAAGAGCTTCTTGGTCCGCAGGGTGCGGGAGGTCTTGGGGCCCGACATCTGCTGCAGCTCCCCCTGCTTCAGCAGCCAGCGCGAATGCGAGATGATGGGCACGGACTGTGGGGAGCGGCAGTGGCAGCTGAGCAGCCGGGCCTGCTGCCCCCAGGGCACTCCCTGGAATGGGGGAGCATCCTGGGCAACCTTGAGAGAGGGCTATCATGCTTCCTGCTGCCCATGGGGCACAGCACGGCAGGCAAGCTGGACAAGGGGAAGTGGCAGGTGTATATATGTGTGAGTGTCCCTGTATTCCCAGTTGTGTGTGCTTCTGTGTCACACATGGAAGCCGGTATGCATGGAGTCGGTGTTCAGCTGTGTGTGTGTGTGATCAGCCTGCTGGATGCAGGGTCAGGCTCCCAGCAGAGGGGGCGTGGTCCACAGGGGCCAGGCAGGGAGGCCGGACCCATCCTGGCCAGCATCTGACACCCAGAACCGAGCTGGGTGGGGGCAGGCAGGGTGCTTGGGGCAAGGCACGGGCACCCTGGGACCGGGCGTGATGGGGGCAGGCCTGCGCCTGGCTGCCAGAGGGCGCTCACCTTGATCTTAAACTCCATCTTCTTCTGGATGCTGATCATCTGCTCCGTGCGGCTCATCTTGCGGACACCCTCGTTACACGCCTTCACCACCTGGAGCAGACGGGGCATCAGGCCTCCCTGCCGCCCAGCCAGGCCCGGGGCTGGGTGGTCACTTAGTGTGGGGACATCCCCTGTGGTGTTGTTCACAGTCCCCACGTTCACCACCTCTCCTTGTCCCCCAGGGTTGAGGGGAGGCAGAGGTGGCTCCTGTCACGATGAGCTGGACAGTGACAGCTATGGAGTGGCCCCACGCCCCTGTACCCAGCAGGGCTGGTGGGCATTCATAGATGGGAGGGGGTAGTAGAGGCCGTGCCACGTGCTCTCAGCCCCAGCGAGGGCCAAGCTCGAGATGAACCTCAGGACCCAGCCCTCTCGGGGGAGCGCAGGCCGGGCAGGTGGGCCGTGGGGCGGTCGGGAGGAACAGGAGGCCCAGCTCACCAGCTCCAGCTCCTTGTGGGCCTCCAGGGCTGTGGACTCCCGCTCTGAGCGCTCCTCCACCCGCTTCAGGATGTTCTAGCACAGAGAAAGGCCATGTTAACCACTGACGGCAGGCAGGCAGGCAGACTGGCCCTGGGGCTTGGCGGACGCGGGTGCTCCCAACACCGGCCCAGGCTGCAGGGGCGCAGCCAGGAGCTGGTGGGAGGCTCCCCTCCCCTCTGACACTGTCCTATGTTCACCACCATCTTAGCCACGGAAAGGCTTTTTCACCAATTGTTCAGTTTCCTTCCCCTTTTAAAAAGATTGCTAGACAATGGGCTTGGAGCTCTGGCTCAGTGGCTCAATCCTAGCCTTGCATGCAGCAGAATCCCATATGGCCCCGCTTCCCATCCAGCTCCCTGCTTGTGGCCTGGGAAGGCAGTAGACAACGGCCCAAAGCCTTGGGACCCTGCACCTGCGTGGGAAACCTGGAGGAAGCGCTTGGCTTTGGATCAGCTTGGCTTTGGTTCAGCTCGACATTGATTTGGAAGATCCAAGGACACAGAGGGACACAGAGTGGGATGGTCCCTTCGCTGAGTCACCATGCAAAGGCCCACAGCATACCAGGGCCCAGTGGGACTGGGAGCTGGGAAGTCAGTAGTAGCGGCAGTGGCAGGAACCTGCGTCCTTGGGCCATCATCCTCTGCTGCCAGGCTCATTAGCCGGAAGTTGGACTGGAAGCCCCTGGTAGCTGGGACTTTGGCCAGGCCAGGCGCTCCGCTATGGGATGTGGCTATTGCAGGCAGCAGCTTAGTCCCTGGTACCTTATTGCCTGCCCGTTCAGCCACGTCCCCTTAACCAGATCACGTTCCTGGTGCTATTATCACCACGAGCTGCTGTTTGCACTGCTCTTGAACTTCACATTGCTTTGAACCTGCATTCTTTGAGGAGGTGTGGGAGCACCCTAGCGCATCCATCTGCCATCCCAGACATGTTCTTTAGAGCTTGGAATTTGCTCCCAGGGCTGGCCCCAGGACACTGGGTGATGCAGTGACATCCAGTTCTGTCTGAAACACCTGGCCTGTGGCCCATATGTCCGCTGAGCCATACCTGAGGCCCTTATTGCCCCCTAACCTGGCACAGGTGGGCTGTGCTGGTTTTGAGTTAGAAAATCACACTCAGTTTATAGAGCCCTAGATGGTCTGTCTCTGCAGGAGACCTGTTGTGTTTCCTCAGCACCACCAGGGAGCGCTGCTGTCACGGCCCTTGCAGCTCTGCACTGCCTGCTCCGGCTGTCCCGTCCCAGGCGACTGTCCCGCTCTCCTCCCTGACCCCTCTGGACACTAACAATGCTGGCTTTGCCCTCAGCTTCTGAGCCCGGCCCTCCATGGCCCCTGCCTCCCCTCTTCAGAAAGTCCTCGGAAAATGCCCATTATGAAGAAGGTAAGGAAGATGTAAAACGTGTTTTTGCACCTGGATAAACTCATCTTTCAGTTCCCCTTTTCCCAACACCCTTGAACCTCCCCTTCTGTGGCTCCTGGGTCACTGAATCAGACATGCCAGAGTCCACACAGCCTCTCCATATGCTCAGGGTGGGACAATGCATGTCTGTCAGTGTGTGTGAGGCAGAGGGACCAGCCTCCTGGCTTCCCGCGTCCACGGGGTCCCTGTCTGGGCCACGTGGTCTCCTCCGCTCCCCGCCTTCCTTGCTGATCTGCTAAGACCCTGCCCTGGTGTTTCCATGAACTTGACCTCGCCCAGCCATATGCTCAAGCAGCTTAGCTCTCGCTGGGCCAGACTCCTTGCCGGCCTCTCTGGGTAACAGTATACACTCCAAGTATTTTGACTCTCCATTTTACTGTGTCCTCCGGGTTCCCACACCACGGACCAAGCGTGACCCCTCCGCCTATGTCCACTGCTGCCCTCACTCTGTCCCATGGCCTCTGCCCTCTGGACAAGCCTCTGTCCCCACCTCTACATGGTCTCCGCCCACCACCAGGATGCGGCTCCCTGGGGGCTGGGGAGCTCCCTGCACTCACTGGGGTGCCCGGTCCACAATGGGAGCTGACTTGGTACTTATCAGGAAGCACGGCAGGGTTGGGGGAAGAAGCCCCGGCCCTCCCCGCCATCCTGGGATTGTGCAGGTGCAGAGGGGGCGGTACCTGGACCAGCAGCTTGAGGCGCGTGATCCTCTGGAAGGGCAGGATGAGAAAGGAAGAGAAGGGCAGCCCCTTGCATTTGGGGTCCAGCTCCAGCTGCGCTATCAGCTCCCGGAACGCGGCCTTCTCCTGCCTGGGGGAAGGTGTCAGGCTCGCTGCGGGACCGCCACCCCTCACCCCGCAGCCCCAGCACCCCCACCCTGGCATGGGGCACATCCACCTCTTTCCTGTCCAGGGGACACACAAGGCGAGGGTGACCGCGGCTGCGAGGGGCCGGGTGTGGTCCAGGCTGACTCAGACACACAGCAGGTGCTGCGGGGACCGGGAGGGGGCCAGCCGGCTCTGCTGGGCTCTGGGGGGCCTCGACCTTTCTCTGGCGACACGGACCCTCCCTCTGCCTCCTCCCCGGCCCAGGAGGGCGGGCAGTGCTCACAGCAGCTGCTTGTAGGTTCTTTCCTGGTAGGTCTGGTTGCTGACGTAGGTTATGTAGACAGAGAAGGGGTCGGCGGCGTAGCGGTGCACGATGTCGCACACATCCGACAGCACGATGTTCTCCTCCATGCGATGCTCTAGTTCCAGCAGGAACCTGTGGGAGGCGGTGGCTTGGGTGGGGGGCCGAGGCGGGGGCAGTGAGACAGTCAGTGGTGGCAGGAGGGGTCAGTCCCAAAGGGCTTGGTTATGCAAAATGCTGTGCGTGGGTGTGAACAATTCTGCACCCAAATAAACGGACCCAGGGGCTTCCTGGTAACCTGTTTTTTTTTTTTTTCCAGGTGGGTGATTATCGGAGTATTAGAGTGAGTGAGAGAGTGATCAGGCTCACCTTTGAGGGACACGGAGATGTGCTGTAGGTGAAACATAGTGACATTGCCAGTGGGCAGAGGTGGGCATCGGGCAGACACACCCCGACTTCTGTGGCTACCGCTGCTGGTGGTGGGGGACCCCCAACGTGGGCATCCCTCCTCTTGCCTGCCCAGATAGAAGCGGCAGGTCCTCGGGGAGCCCTGGCCTCTGAACCCCCTGGGGGGTAGTGGTGCAGCCAGGGGCAGCTGGAGGAGTGTCTGCCAGAGGCGGCCTCCCTGGGGTCTTGGGCAGCTCCTAGGGCACCCCCTGCAGGACAGAGGCTGCCTCTGCGCCCAGCAGTCCTCTACCTGCAGAGGACGTAGGGGATCCTTGCAAAGCTTTCTGACAGTCTCATCCCAGCCCGCGCCCTGAAATCAGCTCCTCCCCCAGGCTCTGCTCACAGGATCCTGCTCCCGCTGGTCTGGAGCTCATGCCATCCTCATCATGCCAACAGGCCGAGACAAGAGGAGCAGACAGGAGTACGGCGGGGGTGGGCAGACTGGAGAGAACCAGCCCAGGCGAGACAGTGGGCAAGCGCCCCGGCAGCCCTGCCGGGGTGAGCATGGCAAGCCCTTGAGCCTACATCTTTCTCCACAGCATCCTAAACTGGAGCATTGCCGAGCCAAGCTCTGGCTAGCACCTCGTCAGTTGGTGGACAGGTCCGAGCCCTGTGTCCGCCTGGCGCCTCACCGCTCGCTGACGGCCATGACGTCCAGCACATTGGAGAAGAGGATGTGCGCCTCAGAGGGGTGCAGGATCTTCTTCAGTCGCTCGTTCTCCATGAAGTGGGAGACCAGCAGGTTCAGGCTTTTGTAATAGGAAGCCTCGGAGGTAACCAGCTCGAACATGGCCTGTGTCGGGAAAGCAGACAGGAGACCCTGCGGTCACTGATCCAGGTTCTTCCCCTGGCGGGCCTCGAAGCTGTGATCCCAGACACAAAGGGGCCGAGAAGCTCACAGGGACACGGCTGCCTCCCTTTCAAAGTGTACATGGTTTGAGATCAAGGCTCAACAGGCAGGGTGGGCAGTGTGCACACGGCTGCACTGCTGCGCCCGAGCAGCAGAGGGCGCTCCAGGCCACACCTGTGGGAGGAACCAGGGAGCAGGTGGCCAGAGCCGGGGTCCACCTGGTCTGGCCCAGTGCCTCTCTCAGTCAGCTGCAGGAGGTGGGGCCTGGGGCCAACTTCGACCTTTGAGTCACCTGAGAATTTAAAGATGAGCACCCATTTCTTCCAGGGTCTGAGTTCACAACTAAAGAAGCAGTCCCTACAATAATGCTCTCTGAGAAGCAAGTTGTCACCCTTGCTCCTGAGCTCTCCACACTGCCACCTGGGTGACACGGGCGGGCAGGAGCCCTGTGTGGTCCAGACTCCCACTCACCCCCATCCTTCTAGTGCAAATAAGCCAGCAGGGGCTGCGCCCTGCACTGCTCCCCCCGACCCCAGCCCTCTGTGACTCCCCCAAGGGAGAGTGTGGCCAGTGAACCTGTGGCCTCCATGGAAGGCCACACTTACGCATCCTAACCCCTCCCCCTCCGCTCCCGGAGTGAGACTTTGTTTACATACAGGCCTTTGAGGGTGGGGTAGGGCCAAGGACATGGGGGTGGGGCTCCCCAGGAGCCTCTGCCGGGAGCACAGCCCCTCCCACACCCTGACGTAGGAGGGGTGCCCATGGGCGTGTAGGGGGGACTTCTGTCCCTTCGCAGCCTCCTGAGGTGTCACGTGGTGATGAGCCCAGGACCCTGCTCTTCCACAGGTGCTGCCCAGTCTCACACCGCTCGCTTCTGGGTCCCCCTCAGCGTCCTCCCCCAAGCCCCATCCCCCCAGGGCTCAGGCAGGGCCCGGCAGGGAAAGCTGCCGGTGCAGAGCTCAGGCAGGGTCCAGCAGGACAGTGCTGAGGCTCGGTCAGGGCCCAGCCCCTAAGCCCTGCTGTGCAGACCAGGCGGCGGGGCCATCGGCCCCACTGATCACCCGTGTCACACCAAAGAGCCTGGGGTCACACGGGGACAGTGTCAGGAGGCCTGAGGTCCCCATGCTTGCCCCATGGCACCCCTGCCTGCCCTGCAGACCACACAGACCGCATGTGCTGGGCCTGGCCATGCCAGGGCTGCACTCCTAACACTGACCAGCCACATGGCCACTTGTCCAGGGTCAGTCAGTGTCCCAGTGAATTCTGCTTGGCCAAAGTGAGGCTCTGCGGGCCAGAGGTTTCCAGAAGCTTCTCTGCCCAGACACTGCTATGAGCTCACTTCCCTGCAGCCAGGAAGTGCTGTGCCTAGCACAGGTGGGTGTGAGAACGTGGCCTCTCACACTGCCTGGCACTGCATGCGCTCCTGAACCGTCTGCAGAAAGTGGGACCAAAAGATGTGAAACAGACAGACGCCCCACGTGGGAGGGGTCTTCACAAAGCTCCTGGGAAATGAGTGTGATGAAAGCAACGCACATGGACTGCCAACGTCTGCACCCCAAGTCAGCCGGCCCCTCATGCCATTCGCACACACTTGAAGGAAGCGAACCGCAGTTTCCATGCTGCCCTCCCCGCTTCCAGCCCAACCCCTGCTCTTCCTCTGGGCTCGACCTGCTCTGCTTCTGGAAGGAGCTGACCCTGAGGACTCACAAGTTTGTCAGGCATCAGGAGAGAGTCACTGTTACTCAGCGTGGTCCCCAGAACCTCGAGCCTTGGTGGCCCCGGGGACCCTGAAAGCCTTGGCCTGCAGGTGGATGTCCCTTCCCGTGCTCTTGTAGCTGCGTGTCCCAAGCTTGGGTGCGCACGAGCAGGCCCCACTGTGTCTGGCTCTGCCCAGCACTGCTCTAACAGGACCAGGTCTGGGCACTGCAGGAAGGATAGGGCGGGAGTTGGCTCTGTGCAGTGGTGGGGGAAGCTACTGCCTATGGTGCTGGCATCCCACATGGGTGCTGGTTCAAGTCCCAGCTGCTCCGCTTCTGACCCAGCTCCCTGCTGTGTGCCTGGGAAAGCAGCTGGGAGGACCCAAGGGCTCCTGCACCCATGCGGGAGACCCTGAAGAAGTTCCTGGTTCCTAATTTTGGATTGGATCAGCTATTGTAGTCACTTGGGGGAGTGAACCAATGGATGGAAGATCTCTCTCTCTTCCCCTCTCCTAACTCCGCCAGGTGGCAGCAGAGGGCAGAGTCCCCTCCCCAGATGATAATGCTAATTCCCAGTACCCAGTCACCTGTCACTCTCTCAGCATGATTGCCTCGGGAACTGAGCTGCCAACATGGGCACAATGGGGGCCACTTTCCACCCAGCAGCCACTTGGCTGCAGCCTGTGGGGTGCAGGGAGAATGCCGGCCTGCCGGGTGGGATGCCCGGCACCTTGGCCTCTCCTGGAGCTCCAGCTAACCTTGGTGGCGGTGAGGAGGTCGCCCGGACCCCTCCATTCAGACCTCACCATCCAGGCCCCGTGTCTTCCCCTCCCTTGTCTTGGTGAGTGGGGTAACTACGATGACCACCTCAGACTCCTGAGGACTGGACCATCAGTGCCAGGTCGGTGGCTCAGGTGAGCAGGTGTGGGGATGCGATGACACCATGCACTCTTTTGCAACAGGGACTTTAGTGACCTCTGGAATCCATGCCTTTCTGGCTGAGTCCCAGCAGCTGTGCGAGCGGGAAGTAGACCCTGGGGGCGCCTGGGCAGCCCTGACCTCCCCAAAGGCAAGTTCAGGCATGTCTGGGACTCCTCTCCACGTGACCCGGCTCAGCTCGCAGTGAATGTAGGCACACAAATGGTGTCAGAAAGAAAGGAGGTGCCGCTGAAGACAGGGTGAACATGACTGAAAACCCCAAGGCGACCCCAAAGGTGGGAAGACAGCCAAGGCTGGGTGAGGTTGGCGCAGGGATGGGGTGGGAGAGGGGGCATGGGGTGCATGCTCAGACCGGCTGGTGTGTGCCGACAATGGGACAGGACCCTCTCTAATTCAACATGCCTTTGACCTTTAACCTGACAACTCCTGGAAGTTCGGTCTCCGAGGAATGCAGCCAGGACTGCTGGGAACATTTGGTTTCCAGTTGTCCAAGTCTGCAAGCCTGCAACTGGCTGAGAAGCCATGGGATGCAGAGGTACCTGGCCTGCCAGGCGAGGTGCAGAGCCCGCCGCCCGTACAGGGTTGCTCTCAGCGGGTAAGATCAGTGTCTTATCTGGGCACACCGCCGTGGGTACCAGGGGTCTCACAGCAGCCTTCCCTGCTGGCTTTCCCAGCTCTAGGCACCCAGCCCAACACGATCAGGGACCACGGCATGTTGTCCGTTCGTCTGTCTCCTCCATTGAGAGAGGCTCCTGCGTGTGCTGGGGACATAAGCGGTACCAGCCCAATGGCTATAGCCACTTCCAGCTCCTTTTCTGTGTCTATATATTTTTAAGGAGTTATTTTTTGAAAGACAGAAGTGGAGTGGTGTGAAAGGGAGAGATCTCACTTCCCAGATGGCCAATACAGCTAGTGCTGGGCCAGGCGGACGCCAAGAGCCAGGAGCTTCTTCCAGGCGTCCTACCTGGGTGCAGGGGCCCAAACATTTGGGCCAGGCTGTTAGCAGGGAGATGGATGGGACCCAGAGCAGCTGGGACTTGAACCAGTGCCCATGTGAGATGCAGGCATTGGAGCCAGTCATTTCACCCACTGTACCTCAGTGTCAGCCCTAACAATGCCCCATGCTTTCTCCTTCCTGACTGTGTGCACAGATACATATCAAATTCATTGCTTAAACAGTCACACGTTCTCAAATAGTGAACTCCAAAACCATCCAAGGAAGGAGCCTGGGAACCAAGGGCCTCAGATAAATTAGAACACAAAGCAAGCAAACCGAGAGAATCCTTTGCAATTTCAGCTACTTCATTTTTGCTTTACAAGGAGGACAATGTTACTAATAAATTCTTAGATCCTGATCCTTCCGGGACTGGGTGAGACATGGGCCTACCAAAAGACCAGCGCCGTGGGCTGTTTCCTGGTGCGAACAGTACTTCACTCAAGCCTGCTGCTTCTGTAGTCAAAGAAACAACAGCTTGTGCAGGCAGTGCGAGTTGCCTGTTGGCTTTGATGAGCACACAGAGACAGGATCTGACCGGGTAGGCACGGATGTGGAACGCAGCAGCTGACAACGGTGCCTCTGTGTCCCTTATCCAAGCTCAAAGCTCAGGTTCAGCTCCTAAAAACAAGCCTGGACAGAAGTGGCTGTTACCGCACGGGGTCAAGTTACTGACCAGGATGCCTTCCATGATGGAGCGCAGGTTCGAGCCCTGGCTGCTCCATTTCCGATCTAGCTTCCTGTTGATGTCATTGGAAAACCAGAGGATGACACACTGACAAACGGAAGCTCTTTTCTGTCCCTTTCAAACGGATAAATAAATCTTCAACTATTTTTTTAAAGCTGTATTTATCTGGGCCCGGCGGCGTGGTCTAACGGCTAAAGTCCTCGCCTTGAATGCGCCGGAATCCCATATGGACACCAGTTCTAATCCCAGTGGCCCCACTTCCCATCCAGGTCCCTGTTTGTGGCCTGGGAAAGCAGTTGAGGATGGCCCAAAGCGTTGAGACCCTGCACCCGCGTGGGAGACATGGAAGAAGTTCCTGGCTCCTGGCTTCGGATGGGCTCAGCACTGGCCGTTGCGGCTCGCTTGGGGAGTGAATCATCAGATGGAAGATCTTCCTCTCTGTCTCTCCTCCTCTCTATATATCTGACTTTGTAATAAAAAAAAAGTAAATCTTTTTTAAAAAGCTGTATTTATATATTTGAAAGGCAGAATAACAGAGTGGGAGAGACAGAGAAAAAGGGAGACATCTTGCATCTGCTAGTTCACTCCCAGATGGCGCACCGTGGCCAGAGCGGCTAGGCTGGAA